TCCTCTCACCCTCTGCATCTCTGGCCTGTACCTCAGTTCTGAATAAATAAATAAATCTTTAAAAAAAATCAAGGCCAAACATGTACGGAGGACATACATCCAGGTCTTGAACGGAATGTTTGACCAGTCTTATCTCACCCTTCTTTACCACTTAGTGAGACAGGACTCAGATTAGTTACATTTGATGAGGAAAGGGAGACACCCAGAACTTCAGCCTCTTGCCCATGGCCACGTGGCTACTAAGTGGAGATGCCAGCAGTCAGCAGGGTCTCTGGACGGTGTTCTCCAAACCCTGACTATCAACAGTGAAATAACAGCTACACTCAGGAAGTGCCAGGCTGCCTGGATCCACGTGCAAGCTCATTGGAAATGGGGACAAAGTTTAATTCTAGCTTATAGGGTTGTTGTGAAGATTAAAAATGATAATATAAAGTCTTTTGAATAGTACCTGACTCATAGTAAGAACTAAAGAGTATTACTAATAATCCTCAAAAACAACTCCATATAGATTGTTATACCCATTTTATGGATGAGGCATAATGGTTAGAAGAAGGCAGTCACTAACCTGCAGACACAACTGGGATTCAAACCCATGATTCTGTTGGATCTGGCACCAGAATTTAAAGCACATGTACTTAAACTTGAACTTTTTGCTTGTGGTGGGGTTTATGGGGTTAATAATCCATTTTGCCCTTCCTAACACCTCTAGAGACTCCCTTCTTCCCTCCCCCAAATAGCCTCCCTCCCTGTGTATCCAGGCTGAGATCAAGTAAAAATTTAGACTTCTGGGCTTCCCTAGTAGTGCAAGGTGTTAAGTCTCAGCACTATGAAGCTATCCCCAGTCACTGTAGCATGAGCTTCATCCCGAGCCAGGGAGCTGACCCACATGGCGCAGCAGACCTCTCCTGTCTTACCCACTGCTCTTCTCAAGCAGTGTATTTCAGTTGATCTGGCTGCTTTGCTCCCCACCCTGTATCTGGAGAATCCTCTCACCCTCCTCCCCATGCCTCTGGCATACACCCCAGTTCTTATATGCATAAATAAACAAAACAAATCTTCAAATTCTCTTTCCCAGTGTGAACCTTCAGAAGCCCCAAAAAGTGTTTGTGTCTTGGGGTGAGCTAGTCTGGGAAAACTGGACAGTTTTCCAAAAGTCCTAACTATAAACAGGACCCAGTCACCCCACACCCTACAGTCCTTTTACTCAGCTGAGGGGACCAGGCAGCCCTAGTCAGCTGCCTCCGCAAATACATAAACACATAAATTGCCAGAGAGAGCTGGCAAAGTCCCAGAATGAAGGCAGAAACCAAGATCAGAGGAGGAGATGAAGGTCCAGCTCAGGACTCCATGAGGGAAGGGGGAGGAGCTGTGGTCCAGCACTGGTCACCTGTAGACTCTCTGGCTCTCCAAGTTTCAGCCATTGGACTGAAGGGGAGGCAGGGTAGCTGGACTGTCCAAGCAACCTAGGTTTCTGTGAGAGATGAGGGGGCCCAGAGGTGACCCCGGAGGCATCATTCGCTGCACTGGGCAGTGTTTGGACCCACAATCTGGAGACTAGACTTCATGCTTGGCAGGGGGAGGCTGCCACAGCTCCCCTCCTTGTCAGCTCCTCTTTCCTGCTGGCCAAGGAAGTACCCCACATGTGTGAAACTGCTAGGACAGAGTCATGAGCATTCCCTGGCATTGGCAGTCTCTGCTCCAGCCAGGAGGGCAGCTGTGGGGAGAGAGAGGGAGAGGCAAGCCACGGGGGTAAACTGGAGAACCAGCTGACAGGCTTTGAAGCCAGGAACCCCACATTCAGCTGAGCGCTGCCGCCGCCGAAGTCCGGACTCAGACATCCAAGGCCAACACCCCTCCACCCACGTGGTTCTCATTAGGCTCATTAGCAGCAAAATAGCAACCAGCAAACAGCACTGTGCCCAGTTAATTAGCACACAGACCTTCAATGGGCAAGCCCACTTCAAGAGGGAAGGTTGAGGCCTCTTCTGCCAGGACTACTACCTATCTTGTGCTTGGGTCGGGGCCACCGGGGGTCAGCAAGGTGAGGGGCTGGGGGAGAAGTAACAGGGGCCCAGGACCCCCAGAGTGGGGCTATCGGCAGCTGCTGCAGCGGTTGGGCACGGGGGTGCACGCACCAGGGTTCTGACAATCTGCAGACTCATCCAGCCTCGAGTTTCCAGTGTTGAAACTCCAGGTTGGCAGAGATGGGAGCTGGAAAATTGTGAGCAAGTCAGGAAACAGAATGTCCAGAGCTGGAGCAGGGCCCATGCCCAGACCCCTCAGGCAGCCTGTGAGAAGCCCATCCCCTCTGAGGCTAAGCTGCTCCTGCTTCAACTCAAAGCTCGGCCCTAGTCTGCTAAGCACACTAGAACTTACTCTCCTGCCTTTCTCCAATGCCAAATCCCTTCCCACGCCTCCAGAGCGAGCCTCCCCACATCCTTCTCCTTTAAGCTCAGGTCCTGGGACTCAGCGTTGGTCCCTGGACCAGCAGCATCAGCATCCCCTGGGAGCTTGTCACAAAGACAGAATTGGGCCCTCCCCATTGGCGCAACGGGTTAAAGCGCAGCACTGCTAAGCTGGCCACAGCCGCTTTAGCGCAAGTTTGATGCCCAGCCAGGGGGTGACCCACATGGCACAGCAGACCTCTCCCGTCTCCCTGCTGCTCCCCTCAGCCGTGTACTACATCAGTCAGCCAGTTCTGCTCCCTGCTTTGTCTAAAAGCAGATGAATCCTCTCACCATCCCTGCACCTCTAGCCTATACCCCAGTTCTGTATGCATGAATAAATAATTCTTAAAAAAAAAAAAAAAGAACCTCCAAAATCTCTATCCCTACCACCACCACCAGATCTGCTGAATCAGAATCTACACTTCAATGTAAAGTCCAAATATATCAACCCAGAGGATTTGTGGGAACACTCAGTTTTGAATAGAGTGCCCAGGGGAGATCTTATAACTGACCCAACTCTTCTCAGGGTTCTGTAGCCCAGGCTAGAATCACCCAGAGTGCTTAATTTTTTTAAAGATTTATTTATTTATGCATACAGAATGGGATACAGGCCAGAGGTGCAGGGGCAGTGAGAGGACTCACCAGAGGAAGAAGGGGAGCAAAATAGGCAAATTGATAAGGTACACTGCTGAGGGGAGCAGCAAGTGGGTCAGGAGAGGTCTGCCGCACCATGTGGGTCACCTCCAGGGCTGGGGATTGAACTGGCACTGAAGTGGCTATGGGTAGCTTACGTGCTGTGTCCTAACCCATTGTGCCATCAGGAAGAGTACCAGAGTGCTTTTAAAAAAAAAAATGCCAGTGTGTCTTCTTCAAACAACTAGCAACAACAAATGTTGGTGAGGATGTGGAGAAAAAGGAACTCTCCTGCA